AAAAAAAAAAAAAAAAATTATTATAATATACTTACCTAAGTATACGTAAGATAAACTAAGGTCAATATGTGGTGAGTACTAGAAGCTCAATTAATGCTAAATTAGTCACCTTCCCCCTTCATCCCATTTATTCCCTACATCACACCCAAATATTATCAATCACTTCGAAAGAATAAGGCCTTTGGGCAATTGCATTGGCTATGAACCTGAGCTCATCTTTGCTATAACCTTCATCTCTCACTTTAAAATCTGGAATACTATTTTCCTTTGTTGGAATCTTTGTGATATCATATGAACACTTTGTGTGTTCAATTATATGAGGCAGAGCAGAGCCAGAAAAAACCTAGGAAAGCTCACAGTCCAATATATTTCTCCTATTTGACAGATGAGAACCCCTAGACAGGAGGCGGCAGAAGTGGGAGTGGTTTAGAACAGCTAAGGGAGACAAACTTGCCTGTCAGTTTGTCATACTGTGGTGGCTTGCATGTTGCTGTGAGGCTGGAGGCTGTGCCACTGGTGTTTCAAATGCCAGCAGGGTTGCCCATGGTGGATGGGTTTCAGTGGAGCTTCCAGACTGAGACATACTTGGAAAAAGGAAGAGGCCATCCACTTCCTAAAGAATTGGCCAGTGAAAACCTTATGAATAGCAGTGAAACACTGTTTGATATATTACTGGAAACCTTTATGACGGGCCCTGAAACATTGTCTGATACAGTACCAGAAGATGAGACCCTCAAGTCAGAAGGCACTCAAAATACAACTAGGAAAGAGCTGCCTCATCAGAGTGGAGCCTATCTTAATGATATGGATAAAGTAGAGTTTTCAGGACCTCCATTTGCTGATGTGGTATAACTCAAAATGAAAAGAAATAGCTGCAAATATCCATTAATGATCGGAACATGGAATGCACAAAGTATGAATCTAGGAAAACTGGAAGTTGTCAAAAATGAAATGGAATTCATAAAGATTGATATGCTAGGCATTAGTGAGCTGAAATGGATCAGTTCTGGCCATTTTGAATCAGACAACCATATGCTCCATTATGCTGGGAATGACAAATTGAAGAGGAATGGCATGGCATTCATCATCACAAAGAATATTTCAAGATCTATACTGAAGTACAATGCTGTCAGTGATAGGAAAATATCCATAAGCCTACAAGGAAGACCAGTAAATACTACTATTATTCAAATTTAGGCACCAACCACTAAACCCAAAGATGAGGAAATTGAAGATTTTTACCAACTTCTGAAGTTTGAAAATGACCAAACATGCAATCAAGACGTGCTGATTATCACTAGTGACTGGAATCCAAAAGTTGGAAACAAAGAAGAATCACCGGTAGTTGGAAAATTTGGCTTTGGTGATAGAAATAACGCTGTATATCACATGATAGAATTTTGTAAGACCAACGACTTATTCATTGCAAATACCTTTATTGAATAATACAAATGGCAGCCATACATGTGGACTTCACCAGATGGAGTACACAGGAATGAAATCAACTACATCTGTAGCAAGAGGTGATAGAAAAGCTCAATATCTTCAGCCAAAACAAGGCCAGGATTGGATTGTGGAACAGACCATCAACTGCTCATATGCAAATTCAAGTTGAAGTTGAAGATAATTAAAACAAGTGCATGAGAGCCAAAATATGACCTTGATAATATTCCTCCTGAATTTAGAGACCATTTAAAGAACAGATTTGATGCTCTGAACACCAATGACTGAAAACCAGAACAGTTGTAGGATGACATTAAGAACATCATCCATGAAGAAAGCAAAACATCATTAAAAAGACAGGGAAGGAAGAAAAGACCAAAATGGATGTCAGAAGAGACTCTGAAATTTGCCCTTGAATGAAGAGTAGCTAAAGCAAATGGAAGAAATGACAAGATAAAAGAGCTGAACAGAAGATTTCAAAGAGCAGTTAGAGAAGACAAAGTCAATTATTATAATGAAATGTGCAAAGACATGGAGTTGGAAAGCCAAAAGAGAAGAACACGCTTAGCATTTCTCGATATACGTGAGATAAACTAAGGTAAATATGTGGTGAGTACTGGAAGCTCAATTAATGCTAAATTAGTCACCTGAAAGAACTGAAGAAAAAATTTAAGCTTGGTGTTGCAATGTTGAAAGATTCTATGGGCAAAATATTGAATGTTGCAGGAAACATCAAAAGAAGATAGAAAG